GGAGGACATCATGCACTTGCTGCAGAGGGTCAAGGACTGCAGCCTTCAGTATGGACTAAGGCTCAATGTCAAGAAGACAAAGATTCTCACCACTGGACCAATTGGTAGCATCAGCATGGATGGTGAAGAGATTGAGATTGTACACAGCTTTAGTTTGCTTGGCTCCACAGTCAACAGTCTTGGCACCAGCAGCCAGGAAATTAAAAGGCGCATTACCATGGGAAAGTCTGCTGTTAGGGACCTCTCCAAAGTACTGAAGAGCAATGGTGTCTCTCTGGAGACTAAGGTGCATCTGATACAGGCTTTGGTCTTCCCAATCACTTGTTATGCATCAGAGAGTTGGACAATGACCAAGGAAGATCGAAGGAGAATTGATGCCTTTGAGCTGTGGTGCTGGAGAAGAGTACTGAGAATACCATGGACTGCTAGGAAAACAAACAGATTTGTCCTGGAAAGGGTTAAACAGAGTGGCTCCTTGGAGGCAAGGATTCTGAGGCTCCATCTAACATACTTTGGACAGGTTGTGAGGAGAGACTGGTCCTTGGAGAGGGACATCATGCTTGGGAGGGTGGAGGGACAGCGCAGGAGAGGAAGGCCCTCTATGAAGTGGATTGATTCAGTGACTGGGATAATTGGGATGGGAGTGTCAGAGACGGTGCGATTGGCACAGGACAGAGTGGAGTTTATGGCTGTTGTACATAGGGTTGCTATGAGTCGCAAGCGACTCGATGGCACATAACATAACATAACATCTACTATTCCGAGTAAGTGAATCACTTCTTTTTTTTTTAATCACTTCTGTAAAACAAAAATAAAGTGGGAGGCATAGCACTCGTTGATCTCAAAACCTACTACACATTTGTAATAACCAAAGCAGCTGGGACTGGTACAATGATAGGCACAGAGACCAATGGAACAGAATTGAAAACTGATAAATGAATCCATCAACCTATGGTCAAGTGGTATTCAACAAGGAAACAAAGCTTATCAAGTGAGGAAACGGAACCTCTTCGACAAATGGTGCTGGTGATATTAGAATTGCACCTGCAAAAAGCTGAAACAGGATCCATGTCTCTCACCATAGCCAAAAATCAATTCAAGGTAGACCAGAAACATAGGGGTAAAGCCCAACAACGTAAAGATCATAAGACACAAATGTGACCAAACTTAGAAGGCCCTGTCTACGATATTAATAGGCTGGCAAATACGGCCAGAAATGCATAATCAAGAAAATGACAATATCGATGAATGGGACCTTCTTGAGATTAAGTCCTTGTGTCCATAAAAATCTTTGTCCAATATGGTGGTGGGGGGGGGACCCAACCAACCCTACTAAGTGAGAAAAAACATTTGACAATGCCGTATCACACAAAGGTCTCATAATAAAGTTTACAGAATTCTACAGGGGGCTTCACAAGAAAAAGATTGACAACCCAATGGGCAAAAGACATGGAAAGAATTTTCACAGAGGAAGACATTCAGATGGTCAAAAGATACATGAAGAAATGCTCAAAATCACCAGCAATGAAAAAGATGCAAATCAAAATGACAATGAGATACCATCTCACTCAAGTAGCAGTGGCAAGGAGAAGATGTGGTGAGACTGGAATTCGCATTTACTATTGGTGGGATTGTAAAATGATACAACCACTCTGGAAGGCAGTTTGACATTGCCTCAAAAAGCTGAACATAGAAATCGCCTAAGGCCCAGCTACTCTACTTTTAGGAATATACGCTGGCGAAAACAGAACTGAGACATAAATGGAGATTTGTACACTGATATTCATAGCAGCTTTATTCACAAAAGCAAGAAAATGAAAACAGCTCAAATGTCCAACAAACGAGAGGATTGAGAAACGGTAGTACATTCGCATGATGGAGTACTATGCAGCAATCAGGAGCAACAATTTCGAAAAACACTATATAATGTTGGAGAGGCTGGAAAGTGTTACGCTCCATGAAATAACTCAGTCTCATAAGGACAAATACTGCATAAGACCATTATTATAAAAACAGAAGGAGAACCAGTACAATGTATATATAAGTCCAAAGGGGAAAGAAGAGTGGGCAGGAGGGCTGAGGTGGGAGAATCACAGGGTTGCAAAGTTTGGTGGGCAGAGGAAAAGAGTAAAGGAATTAGGGAAGATTCAATGGGGCCTGATTAGATGGGGTCAATAGTAGATAAGTGGTGATTAGTTCTATAAGACAAGATATATGGAAATGATCATGTGAAACACAATGTAAATGAAGGAATGTATGACACACAATTTTTATAAATAAAACACAATGTTTATGAATTGTGTACACAAATTAAAATAAAATTTATATATACACACACATACATATGTGTGTGTGTGTGTGTGTGTGTGTGTGTATTACTATTCACTGCCATTAAGGAGCGTTGGTGACCTAGTGATTAGAAGCTACGCTGCCATCCCAAAGGCACGTGGTTTGAATCTACCAGCCGCTTCTTGGTAGAAAGATGCTCAATCTCCACCTGTATAATTAAAGCCTCTGAAAACCAGTTGGATGGTTGGATGGTCAGCCACAGGCAGTTTTGACTCAGCAGGTAACAGCAACAATGTCCACTGCCACTGAGTTGATTCTGTCTCATGGACCCTCTACTGGGTTTCCAAGCCTAAATATCTCAATGGAGGAGACTGTCCATCTTTCTCCCCAGAGTGACTGGTGAAATCGAACCACTGAACTTTAAGTTAGTAACACAATATTGATGTACCACCACCAGAACTTCTTTATTTTAAGACCCAAGTTTTAAAATTATGTCCAATGGGCTGCTCCTATGTCACATACATGGCTTCTCAGGCCCAAGCATCAACTATACAACCAGCCACTCATAATAACATGAAAGACGCTTAAAGCTCAAATAACCGTAGTCTTTGTTCCTCCCCCAAAATGCTCCAACAGAAATCATACCCCAGGGTGACAAGAAGTTGGTAACCAGATGAAGAATTTGGAACACTGCATCCGTCTACCCAGATCTGCTGAAGAGAGGAGGTGTCAGACCCGTTCTGTGGAAGGATCTGCTGTCACAGCCCAGAGCGTCCCCCCACCAGCCAGCCTGCCTGAAACTCTGGGATGAAAGGCTTTTCAGAAGTTCTCAAGCTTTAGGATGCATCAGAGTCATGGAACACTTCTTCAAATGCTGACTACAGGGTCCCTTTTCCCACAGGTTCTAATTCATTTGACATAGAATGGACCTGAAGAATTTGCATTTTCCACAAGAGCCCTGGGTGATTCTGACACAGGCAGTTGGAGGCTGTGGAATGACAGATAATGGGTGGGTGCCCGAGAGCACACCCTTATCAGCCCCTCCTCCATCCTCACACCCATGTCGCACAGACTGCCACCTCTAAACGCGAATCCAGAGTCCTGCAACTTCACTGCTTTGGGAAAGCCAAGGAAGGAGCTCCCTGGTCAGGGCCGTGGGGAGGCTGCGATCATGTGACGGGACAGAAGGCTGACTCTGGACTCTTGTCATAATAACAGCTTCTGACCAAGGGCCAACTGAGTGCTAAGCAAAGACATCTCATTTCACTCACAGCATCGCTACGAGGGACATGCTTAGTACCCCCATTTTACAGATGAGGACACTGAGGCTCAAAAAGTCAACAAAGAGGCTGAGCCAGGAGTCAAACCCTGGACAGACCATGAAGTCAGTGACTCTGTGACACTCCCCTTGGCCCATGTAAAGGCTTTCATCAACTCTGAAAGAGAACCCTCTACTTTAGTATAAGCAACACTGAGTTGGTCTTCTGAGGGGAAACTGAGAAAAAACAGAAAAGAGGAATATTCTTGGATTGAGAAATGATGGTATATTCACACAATGGAATACTATGCAGCACTCAGGAGCAATGATTTTGTAAATTACTACCTCACTTGAGAGGGACTGGAGAGCATTATGCTGAGTGAACTAACTCAGTTCCATGAGGACAAATACTGTGTAAGACCATTACTGTAGAACTTGTATGAGGTTCCAAAAGGGGAAGGGAAGGAACAAAGGGGGTGAGGATGGGCAGTTGCGGGGGGGGGGGGGAAATTATTCATAGGGTCACACAATTTGATGGTGGATGGAGGGGTGCGAAAAGGAAATGGGAAAGATCCAGTATGAAAAACAATGTACATGAGCTTTGTAAGTAAATCAATATGTTGTTGTTGTTATGTGCCGTCGAGTCGCCTGCGACTCATAGCGACCCTATGTACAACAGCCCTAAATTCCGCTCTGTCCTGTGCCAATCGCACTGTCTCTGACACTCCCAACCCAATTATCCCAGTCACTGAATCAATCCACCTCATAGAGGGCCTTCCTCTCCTGCGCTGTCCCTCCACCCTCCCAAGCATGATGTCCCTCTCTAAGGACCGGTCTCTCCTCACAACATTGTAAATCAATATACAAAAAAAAAAAAATTATTAAAAAAAAGAACCCCAAAAAAGGAATATTTTGAGTCCTTGCTTCAGTAACTTTAATACTCCTTTCCATACTAACACCCATCTAAAGTTCCTATCATTGTCATTGTTACGTGCTGTCAAGACAGAAATGACTCATAGTTGAACCACCAGGTAGTTTTCAGAGATTAACAATCTCATAAGGAAAGACTGCCCATCTTTTCCCCTCAGAGTAGCTGGTGGATTCGAACCTCATGCTTTGAGGTTGGCAGCACAACCACTTACCAGAACTCTTTTCTTTATGCCCCCTTCATGGCTCCACATTTTCATTTTGGGCCTTAGTCCCTCCTAACCTTTCTCCTCTCTCTGCACCTTTGAACTGTCCCCTTCTTGTTCCCCCCAAAAATCCAAAACGACAGGCCCCACCTCATGCAGACAAGAGGCTGATGAGAAGAACCATTCCCTTTCCCCACCTCTCCCACCACCTCCCTTGTTTCTCCTGCTGCTAATCTAAGGCTGTTCCCCCGCCACCCTATTAGGACACCAGCCATCTGAAGAAAGGAGAACTGAGTTCCCAGCCAGGCCAAATGACCTACCGCTTTCCAGAGGACACTGGGGAATCTTGTTTGCCCGTAGGTTCCAAATATAATCCGTGTTCCACTCCAGGCACACTTGATGGTCTTTGAAGGGGCGCTGGAAAGGCGGGACCGTCTTGAGCAGAGTGTAATTCTTCGCCACAGCGCGTAGCAAGTTCTCCTCCCACTTCACATCCACATCTCCACCACTGTATTTGTGAGTAATCCAGGCGCGCAGTATCACAGCGGACACGGAAATGGAGTGTCGGATGAAATAATCATCCCTGTAAACCATGATGCTCGGGAATTTCACACGCACTATTTGCGTCCTGCTGATGTGGAGATGTTTCTCGTTCTTCCACCTTTTCTTGTACACGGGAATGCTGCTTCGGAAGTCCGACGAGACTACGGCCTCCAGGTTGACCACACAGGGCTGGGAGCACAAATACTGCACGGAGACTTCTGAGATGTTGCCAACATGCCCTTCGAAGACGGTGAAGTAAATGAAGTCGGTGTAAGCCACGCTCTGCTCGGCTTTGGGGATCATGGACGTGGTCAGGGAGGTCTGCCTGCCTGAAGCCGGTACAAAATTCTGAAATGAGGGAAAAGGAGGGGGGAAAGTAAGTTAGTCAGATAGGTTTAAAAAATCATGGTTAGAAATAAGATCAGCTATGCAAGCCTGGAAGCAGGAGCGGCATCCACTTCTGAAATGGCTTGCCTCAGGAAACTCTATGTACGAACAGTGCTCAGGCCTTTCGTTCATAGGGTCGCTATGAGTCATCTACGACTCGACGGCACCAAACAACAACAACAACATGCTCTAGTCTAAATTGTTTCTTGTCAAACATTCTTCTAGGTAGTATAGCACTGGTCTGTGCATTGATGTACAGAGGTAACTCGTGGTTGCTGTGATGCTGAACACTGGGACACTGATGTGCCAAACATGGTAATGGTCCCTCAGGGTGGACAGTGTTCACTGGAGCTTCCTGATTTAAACAAGCTTGGAAGCAGGAGCGGCATCCACTTCCAAAATGGCTTGCCTCCAGAAACTCTATGAACAGTGCTCAGGCCTTTCGTTCATAGGGTCGCTATGAGTTGTCTATAGCTCAATGGCACCTAACAACAATGACGACAACATAGAGCGAGCTACATTGGCCTAGAGGACAGAAAGTTATGCTACCAAGCCCAAGATGGGTGATTTTATTCTGCGGCCCTCAGGCCGGTTCAAATTGTTTTCCTGTCAAACATTCTTCTAGGTGGTATAGCACTGGTCTGTACATTGCTATACAGAGGTAACTCGTGGTTGTTGTGATGCTAAACATTGTGACACTGATGTGCCAAATGCTATATTGGTTCATCCATGGTTGACAGTGTTTCATGTAGCTTTCTGATTAAAACAAGCTTGGAAGTAGGAGTGGCATCCACTTCCAAAATGGCTTGCCTCTGGAAACTCTATGAACAGTACTCAGGTCTTTTGTTCGTAGGATCACTATGAGTCGTCTACGACAGGATGGCACCTAACAACAACAACAACAACACACTCACTGCCATTCAATGGGTTTTAAAGGATGTTAATCTTTATGGGAGGAGAGTGACCACCTTCCTCCCACAGAGCAGCTGGTGGATTCGAACTGCTGACCCTTCAGTTAACAGCAGAGCTTGTAATTATACCACCCGAGCTCCTTTTAATTAGAGATAGGCGAACTGCTTTATATCTCCAGATTTTTAAAAAAAAAAAATCAATCTACATAAAGGAAAGAAGGCGCCTGATGAGAGATGTCACAGCCACTATTGCTCCTAGAAGCAGCGACAGATGCAAATGAAAACAAGGCCCCATTAAACGCGCTCCCCAGACTCGACAACATCTGCTGATCAAAATGTGGCTTTCAGAGTTACATGGGGATGATTCCAACACTGGTTTCCAAACGTAGGAGCCAGTTCACAACAAACTCAGCCGCAGCTGAACCCGTGAGACCAGGAGACAGCCAAGCTCCAGGCGCTTTGAAACTATTGTCCGTGTCCCAATGGTGGCCACAGCTACCAAATCAAAGGATGAGAGACGAGTCCAAAGTGCACCCAGAGGGAACAGAGCAGGACTGTCCACACAACCTCTTGCTCCTCTAACTTGGGAGCCAGGACAAAGCACTCAAGAGAAATGGACCAGCAGGAGGTTTCTGCAGTCATAGACCACACAGAGCCAGGCTTGGACCGCGGACTGTGTTACCCTCTGCCAGGATGATGCTACAGGAACCACAGAAGATGTCAGCTGTGTGTGTGTTTATCGCGTTCTTGAAATAAACAAGTCTTGTCAATGCAGACATTATTCCCAAAGAAATCCAGGAAGCGTGGGCATGAAATCAAGGGCACTGTTTCCAACATGAGGTATTGAGAAATATAATAAATACATGTTCCCACATAGGAATTGTGATTGAGGCATCCAAGATCACAAAAGCACAATGGTCACTTTGGGTCCCTGCCCTCAATTCTGACTAAGGGTCATGGGCAGCAGGTGGCAAAAGTGGCCACGACACACCATCTGATGTCAGGGAGTCACGTTTAGAAATCATGGCGTTACAAGGCAGAATGTGTCTGGTGCCAATGAGTTAAACCAAGCCCAGAGGGAGCAGATGAGTTACTATTACCAAGTAAGAGACACTCGGGCTTGGAAGGGTCCCGGGACAGTGTAGGAGAGGAAGACCCCGGATTAGATGAACTGGCACAATGACTGGGGTCATGAGGGCAGGTGTGTCAGAGACAGTGAGACTGGCTCAGCGTAGAGCAGGGTTCAGAGCTAGTGTGCACAGGGTTGCTCGCTGTGAGTCATAGTCGACTCAGCAGCACATAACAAACGAACAATTCTGACCGGGGGAACCTAGCTTGAAGGAAGAAATGCTTATTTCAGTCGGGCTTTGAGGGATGAATAGAAGTTCTGTGGGTTGAAAGGAAAGGGAAAGACACTGCTTTATTCAAGAATCAGAAGACTTAATATACAAACGTCCACTAGTCTCAAATTTATCTATAGATTGAATACAAACCCCTGTCAAAAATCCACTTATTTTGTGGATACTGACAAACTGATTCTCAGGTTTCTCTAGAAAGACAGTGTGAGAGGTGTGGACAGCGTAAGCAGAGGCAAGGAGGCAGGGAAACTCATGTGCATTGAGGAAATAACAAGCAGATTGGTTTGGCAAGAAGGCAGAACAAGGAGTACGAGGCACAGATGTGGGTAAGTGGGTAATGGCCACGCGGCTGGGAGACTGGGAAGATGGGCAGGGTCCTAACTGTGAGCTTTATTCTGACGGCACAGAATCAACGCAGATGTCTGCAGGTAGAGTTTTCCTTTTACAGCAACTGACAATCAATTAGAAACAAGATGAACAATCAATTAGAAACATGAGCAAACAACATGGGCAGTTCATCAATAAGCATTTTCTCACTCACAGCAAAAGAAATGCAAATTTAAAAGACACTCTGACATTGTTAACTTACTGGATTCACTTTAGTCTCCCAAGTTTCTCTCTCTCTCTCCCTCTTTCTTCCTCCGTCTCTCTCCCTCCCTCCCTCCCTCCCTCCATTTGGCTTCCAAGGCTACACACTGCTTGGGAGACGGCCCATCCTTCTTGGAGAACTGCCACATCCAGGTTAACGATTCTGTAAGGACTACTCCGTCACAGCTCCCTAACTGCCCAGGCTCCTCATAGACAGGGCACTCACGTGACTGAGTGGGTAAGGAGTTGCACTGCCATCCCAAAGGCAAGTGAGTCAAATCCACCAGCTGCTCTATTGGTCAGTCCCCTCCCATGTGATTTACTGCCTCTGAAAACGCCCTGAGGGGGAGGGGCTATGAGTCAATTCAGACTCAATAGCACAAAACAACTAAAAACCTATTATAGAGAGAAAGAAAGGAAGGAGGGATGGAGGGTCAGAGAGGAGGGAGGAAGAGAAGATTGACCTTTCATGGCTTATAGAAATAATGGCATCATCTCCAGACCTGTATTTGTTTGTTTGCTTGCTTGTTTTGGGTATTTTTTTGTTTTTTTGTATTTTAGAGCAACGTTCAGAAGCATCTTCTTTTTTTTTTTTAAACAAAAGGCGTAAATATATTTCCTTGAACTTTGGTCGCTCAAAGAGACCAGGAGATGGAACCAAGAGAGATATACACTGCACCTCTTCCATATGGTCTCAATTCTGTGCCATGTGAGTGTTCAAACAAAAGGAAGAAAAAAGAAGAGGCTGAGGTGAGAAGAAAGAAAAGAGCAAGAGTCCTCAGAGATGAAATGGAAACTGCAGCTTCTCCAGATGCTGGCGGGAAAGCAGGAAGGGCTGGCCCATCCCTGCCCATCAGCCATGAAACACTTGTGAGCAGAAATGCGCAAACAAGAGTGTATGGTCCAAAGGCCCGCTCTGCAGGGAGAGGCTTAATGGTTTCATGTTCTCATATATAGCTGCCAAACTGGGGGGAGGGAATAAAAACTAATGGTCTAATTAGAAGCAGAGAACATTAAAGCGGATGGGTCCTGGGTGATGAGCAGGCCCTCCTCACTCCTGTTTTGGAGACCAGAAGAGTCTGCATTCTCCACGCTCTCCACAGCGCTGCACGCCCACGTTCTCCACCCTGCTGCATCTCTTGCCTCGGCGCTCAATTCTGCTTTCGCCTGACTAGACATCCACCCTGCACTTATCTCACAAGTGGCGGTTTATTCATTTGGCCAGATGCGTGCAGACCAGCAACTCCCGCTCTCAAGAGGAGAATCAAGTTGTCAAGCGCACCGTAACGAACACCAAGCCTGCTGCTGTCAGAAACCACCCCAAGGGTCTCGAAGTGGAACGTCTCCCTAGGGTGATGGTGTGGTTGCTTAGAGCTTGCACTGCTAACCAAGATGTAGAGGGTTCAAATCCCCCAGCCAGCAGAGTCCAGGACGTGCTTGGTATCTTAACCATCTCACTGGTTTTTTTCAAAGAATGAGTCAAAATCTTATCCTCACACTTCGAAGGCACACTTGAAAATGGCTACACTCAGTTCAACCACGAGTTCTGGTCCCATTGTGGTTGTAAGGTGCTGTCAGGCTGAGTACAACTGATAGTGACCCTGTGAAGAACAGATCGGAACTCTGTCCTATCCTGTGCTAGGGTATCATCTCTGATACACTTGAGCCCACTGCTACAGTCACTGTGTCAATCTGTCTGATTAAGGGCTGTCCTCTCTTTAGCTGCCCCTCCACCTGCCCAACTATGATGTCTATTTCCAGGGAATAGCCCCTCCTAGCCACATGCCCGAAGTATGAGATGAAGCTTCACAATCCTTGCCTCTAAGGAGCACTCTGGCTCCACTTTCTCCAAGATATATCTGTTTATGCTTTTGGCAGTCCATAGGCTATTAATACAGCACTCTTCTCCAGCACAACTCAAAGGCATCGATTCTGCTTCTGTTATCCTTATTCATCATCCAGCTCTCAGATGCATAGCAGGTGACAGAAAAGGCCCACGGCTTGGATCAGATGCACCTTGGTCTTTAAACTGGCATCGTTGCTCTTAAGGCTTTGGAGAGGCCCGTGACAGCAATTTTTTCCCAATGCAATTATGTCTCCAGCC